GTCCTACTCAATGTTTCATATGCTATTCTAGGTTTTTTATTCTTCCAAATATATCTTGTTAACATTTTTTTCATTATCTTAAAGAAGGCTTCTGGAATTTTAATGGTGGTACCATTTGAAATCTATACAGTATTTTAGGCATAATTACCATTTTGACTAGGTTTATACGTCCTATCCAGGATGGATTTCCTCCTTCTAGTCTTTTTAAATCCTCCCTGATCTCATTTATCAAAGAGATATAATTTAATCTATACAAATGCTTAGATGAGGCAGTGAGTTTTATTCCTAGGTATTTTATCTCTTTTTCTCTCCATATAAAGGGGAATTCTTTTTGTAGTTTTTCTTTTTCATTCTGTGGTATATTAATATTCAGGATCTCTGTTTTCGTTGGATTAATTTTTAAATTTGATAGTTCACCATACTCCTTCAGAATCTTCATTATATTTGGGAGAGTTATTCGGGGATTCCCCACATAGAACAATAAGTTGTCCGCAAAGGCCGCTACTCTACTCTATGTTCTATGGATTCTATCTGAATTCCCTTTACCGATCCACTATTTCTTATTATTGACAACAGAGGTTCGAGTGACAATACATATAGCAGAGGGGACAGTGGACAGCCCTGTCTTGTACCATTAGACATTCCGATGGGTTCTGATCTCTCCCCATTTACCGTGATGATTGCAGTAGGCTCCCTATATAATTTACTTATCCACTCTCGCATTCTATCACCTATCCCCAGCACTTTTAAGTTGTCCATCATAAAGCCCCAGTCCACTCTATCAAATGCCTTTTCTGCATCAATTGACAAGAGCACCACCAGGGCTTTCCCTTTTCTACTTTTCTGAATAAGCATCAGGGTTCTCAAGCCGTTATCTCTACCTTCTCTCCCCGGTACAAAGCCCACCTGGTCTCCATGGATCCATCCAGGCATCAGATCCCTCAACCTGTTTGCTAACACCTTTGCATACAGTTTAGTGCCTGTGTTCAATAATGAGATAGGTCTATAGCTGGAGCACTGAGATGGATCTTTTCCCTCCTTGTGAATAAGTACTACATGGGCCTGTAGGGATTCTCTCCTCACTTCCATCCCACCTCCCAGAGCATTCATATATTTCTCCAACTTGGGTAGCAGTACTTCACTAAATTTCTTATAGTACTTAACTGTATATCCATCCGGGCCTGGGCTTCCCCCCCCCCCCCCCCCCTGTGCTTCTTAATGCTATTTTAATTTCTTCCTGGGAGATTTCTGCATCTAGGGAGTTCAACTGTGCTTCACTTAATTTTGGTAATCCCGCATTTTTTAAGTATGTCATCTTTTTTTTTCATTAATTCCCTCTTGGGCTTCTTTTAGGGGGCCTTGGGGCTAATATTATATAACTTTTTGTAATACTCCGTAAACACTTTAATAATCTCTTTATTTGAGTGGACCAACTCCCCCTTTGAACTTTTTATCTTTTCTATATAGTTCCTATTTTTCTTTTTATTCAAAGCTCTCATTAGATATCTTCCTGGTCTGTCCCCCCATCTATATCTCTCGTTCAAAACCCTGTTGTATACTCTTCTCTTCTCCTCATCCATCAACCTCTCTAGCTCATTTTTTTATCCGATAACCTCTGTCTCGTATCTTTTGTTATTTTCTTCTTATGGATCTGCTCCAAGCCCAATATTTCTTTTAAGAGCCCACTGACCCTCTCTCTTCTTTCCTTTTTCTTCCTTGCTCCCGCCGCAATCAAGATTCCTCTTATGAATACCTTATGGCTTTTCCCAGACTGTAGCTATCGATACTTCCTCTGTTTCGTTCTCCTTAAAGTATACCTTAATCTCTTTCTCGATTTTCTGAACTACATCCTCATCCAGAAGAAGACCCTCATTTAACCTCCACCCTAATCCTCCCGTCCACCTTCTTCCCCATCCCATTTTCATTACAACCAGAGCATGGTCCGAGAACGTCCTTGTCTCTATGTCAATTTTAACCAGATGGTCTATAAGTTGATGGTCTATTAAGATGTAGTCTAATCTCGAGTATATCTCATGTGCATTAGAGAAGAAGGTATAGTCTCTGTCTTTCATATGCTTTATTCTCCAAGTGTCCACTAGTTGATATTCATGCATCACTTTTTTCAGAACTCTCAGAGACCTACTCCCCTCTCTTTGCACGGAAGAGGTATTATACTTTTGTGGGTCCATACAGAAATTTAGGTCTCCAGCTACTATCAGGCGCCCTTTTTTTAAATTCCATTAATTTTTTCAGCAGACCCTTCATATACATCTCCGGGTTTTTATTAGGGCAGTATATATTGGCTAAAGTACACTCAATCCCCTGGAGTCTACCTTTTAAGAATAAAAACCTCCCCTCCGGGTCGGTTCTTCTATCCTCCAGCTCAAATCTCATATTCTTTGCAAAACCTATTGCAACCCCTTTTGCTCTTTTAATTGGAGAATCTGCATAGTACCATGTTGGGTAGTGTTTGGATTTCAATTTCACGTTTGCCTCTATCTCAAAATGCGTCTTCTGTAAAAATCTACCACTGACGTAGCCCTATGATGTAACTCATTAAACAACCTAAATCTCTTCCCTGGACAACTCAACCCGTTCACATTATAGGTTATAAACTGTATTTCTTCCATCATTCCCAATTAACTCCATCTCTCTTCCAGATTGCCTCTTCCTCTTTATCCCTTCTGTCTTGCAGAGTATTGACCCAATACCTCCTCCCCTCCCTCCCTCCCTCCCACCCAACTCTTGTCCCCTCCCTCCCCCCCCTCCCCCCACCCCTTTTTAGGCTTGTAAAGTGCCTACCAATCATTTTGTGGGATCATTCCCACCCTTGATTTAAGACTTTGGGGTTGACCTCCGCCCATGGGCGGCTCACCTCTCCTCCATCCTCCCCAGTTTACCTCTCTCTAAAAATTTGACTCAGAAAAAAAAAAAAAAAGATGAAATCGGTCCAGAAGAAATACCCTATTTTCAGAAGGGGGTGGGTGGGAAATGAGGAGAGTGGAAGGGAGAGAGAAAAAAAAAATTTGAGTCTCTATTTCTCCCCTCCCTCTCTCCCCCGCCCCAAACCGCCCCCTCTTCTTCCCCTAACCCGCAGCCAGTCCTCTTTTCTTATATCTTCTAATTCTCCTTTTTCTTCTTCCCATCCTTCTATTTCCATTCTTTGCAAGTCCAATCTCTCACAAAAGACTCTCAGTTCCTCTGGAAATCTCAGATAGGCTGTGACTCCGTTTCTCCATCCAATTAGGCATTCTGGGGTTCCCCATCTATACTGCACCTTCTGCTTTCTCATTTGTTCCAATAAAGGTCTCAAGGATCTTCTTCTCCATAGGGTCTCTGATGTTAAGTCCGCATAGATTTGGATATCTAAATCTCTATATTTAATTATTGATCTTCCTTTAATCTTCCTCCAAATCTTATCTTTGTCCCCAGATTTTTGAAATTGAACAACTGTATCCCTCGGTCTCTCTGCTTCCCCATGATCTGTTTGAACTTTCCTGTTCTGAACACTCCATCCAGATTAATCACTTCTGATTCCGCTCTATCCATTATGGAGTTTAGAATTTTACTAACTAGTTCATACAGTGATTCCCCTTTTACAGACTCTGGGATTCCTCGTACCCTAAGATTACTCCTTCTTTCTTTATTCTCTTGAACCTCCATCCTATAAAGAAGTTTTTTCTGAATAAAATCCATATTTATTATCTTCCTTTCTAGTTTAACAATGGTTTGGGCCTGATTTTTAACTTTCTCCTCTGTTTCCTCCACTCTCAGCAACAGGTGCCCCAAATCATTCCGAATAGATGTCATTTCTTGCTTTATCATTTTCTCCAGACTTTGAAACATCTCTGTCATCTCTTTTTTATTGGTACATGTAGTTCACCCTCAGGTTCGTTTTTCTCCAGCCTTTCCACCGTTTGTTGACTACAGCTGCTATTCATGTCCAGTGATAATCTAGGGTTACTTCCCAGACTGATTTCCATTTCACCCTTTTCACTAGTATCTTGGGGCCTTTCTGGAGTACTATTTCCTTGAGTAGTATATTTCTTGATCGTTCCCGTTTGGGACCCTTTGAGCCCTGCTCCTTTAATTCCTTTATTCTTCATGTCCTCTATGGGTCTTGTTTTCTTCTATGCCCCCTTATACAAATGTAAGTCATATGTCTATGGCTTGTTAACCCAGCCTTGCCTTGCTATTTTTCCTTTTATTTTACTTTTCTGTGTCTCCTTATTCCTCTTCTCTTCTCCACCTCTTCTTGACCCTTGGGAATCCCCCCTCCTCTCTTTCACCTTTTCCTCCCCTCTGCCACAGGAGATTATAGTACACACACAATATTCCAGTATGTAAAAAGCCCCAGCCGCTCTCACTCACCCGTCTCTTTACTTGTAAGAGGCTCTGGTCGTCGGGTAAAGGGCCTTTCTCAGTCCCAGGGGGATTCCTCCGGGTCTCCTTTGGCCTCTCGGTCACCTGGAGGTCATCACAAGGCTACAGGCTGCTTCTCACAATTTTCCAGGGTCCAGGGCCAGTCTGCGCGCCGGGGAACGAGGCCAGGAGTGAGCCGGCACTTCCCTCTCTGCTCGGGATGCCGGCCGGTCTCACCTCCTCCCAGAGATCCTCCGCGGCTTGTCACATGGTCCCGCCGCGTCTCCTCGTCTCACGGCTGACCCGGCTCCTGCCTCTCTTCACGGGCCACTCAGCTCCCCTGCTCTCCGGCCTCTCCTGCTCGGCCCACCTAACTCCGGTGAGTCTGCCCCTTCATTTTTTTGTTTCCGAGGGTCCCTGGGAAGGATGGAAAGCGGAGCCTAGCAGAGTGCTAGTGCCTCACGCTCACCTTGGCCGCCATGTTCGGGCTCCTCCCCTCTAAAGTAGTCCTTTTCTCAGGTGGTTCTCTCGTTCTGATAGGACATCAGGGAGCGCGCAGCGCGGCGATCGGCGGTGCGCTGTGTCCCTCAAACACAGCGGATCACGGAAAGAGCCGAAGATGTTGGCTCGGTCATGTGATCAGCTGTGTCCAATCACTGCTGATCACATGTAAACACAGAAATTCTGGTTATCGGCATTTCTCTCCTCTCGAGCTGTCACGCTGACAGCTCGAGAGGAAAGCCGGTAATCGGCTTTCCGCGAGGGGACATGTACACTGATCATCAGGGCACTGATCATTGTGGCCCCAGAAGTGCCACCTGTCAGTACTCATCAGTGCCACGTGTCAGTGCCCATCAGTGCCACGTGCCAGTGCCCATCAGTGCCACATCAATGCCACATATCAGTGCATACCAGTGCACATCAATGCCACATATCAGTGCCCATCTGAGCTGCCTTTCAATGTCACCCATCAGTGCCAGTCAGTGCCACCTATCAATGCCAATCAGTGCCACCTATCAGTGCTGCCAATCAGTGCCACCTGTCAGTGCCGCCTATCAGTGCACATCAGTGCCAGTCAGTGCCGCCTATCAGTGCCAGTCAGTGCTGCCTATCAGTGCCGCCTATCAGTGTCATGTATCAGTGTCATGTATCAGTGCTGCCTTTCAGTGCCCATCAGTGATGCCTGTCAATGCCCATCAGTGCAACCTACCAGTGCCTCCTCATCAGTGCCCATCAGTGCCACCTATCAGTGTCCATCAGTGCAGCCTATCAGTGCCCATCACTGCAGCCTCATTAGCGTACATCAGTGAAGGAGAAAAATCACTTATTTACAAAATTGTATAACAAAATTTTCAGTGGTTTTTGGTTTGTTTAAGAAAAAATAAAAATCCCAGAGGTGATTAAATACCACCAGAAGAAAGCTCTATCTGTCTCAAAAAAATGATAAAAATTGCATATGGGTACAGTGTTGCATGACCGCGCAATTGTCATTCAAAGTGCAACAGCGCTGAAAGCTGGAAATTGGCCTGGGCAGGAAGGGGGTATAAGTGCCCTGTAGGCTAGTGGTTAAAGTACAACTAAAGGCAGAATTTTTTTTCTTTTGTTTTGGACTGAGTGGGAATGGATTAGAACCCCTGTCAGTTGTTATTGCTATCTCTTCATCCTTTAGGGAGATTCACCCTCTCTATTTGTCATGTTTACCATCATCCTTGAAAGTAAAAGTAAAATAAAATCCCAATACTTGGGTTGTCCCAAGTAATAAAGGGGACATCTTCCAATATGTACACTAGTTCTGGTGACCTGGGGGTCCCTTAGGTATTTCCTCTCACTTCTTGTTTTGGCTATTGGGATGCAGATGGCAAAAAATAAAATGACAGAGTTTATGACCCTCCCTTACTCTATCCAAAATGAAAAAAAAAAGTGTGTCCTATAGTTCTATTTTAACACGTTTTATAAGTGGAGAATTGGATTCAATTACTCATGCACCCCTCCCCAACACATACAAAATAATAAAAGGAGTTTTCTTAATGGAGAAAAGGAGAGAATGGGGAGAATGGGCATCAGGAGATTTTTTCAACTGCAGCAGCTGCTCTTATGTCGCTTGTGCAGTATACCTAAAAAAAGTTAGTTAAACTTCAGATCTCCTCAAGAGCTCAGACGACCGCAAGAGCATGTATTGAAATATTCTTGTTTTCTGTATACTTGCTGGCAGCAAGCTTTTCTTAAAGGTCATATTGATAAAGGTGCTACGAGCTGAACGCATCAACTGCCAGCTAGAAAAGGTTGACAGATATCACCTATCGGGCGTTATTTTCATAAAAATATGCTTCGACTAGATTTTTTAAATTCTACTTTTTTTGTAAAAGGGTTTGCTGGAAGCTGAATGCAGCATGTTCCAATTTCTAATTTGAGTTTTCAATGAAACCCCACCATGTGCATGGAAAACCATGATCCTCATTATGTTCAGCAATGCTCTGTCTACCTGCTGTGCTGAGTGCTGTATGCAGCACATATCAACCAACACACATTTGAAAACACCGATATGTACACAGCCTCAGGCAGCCAAGGAAAATATAGTACATTATGCAGTTATATGAATCCAAGGCAATACACTGGTAGTGTGGATAGTGTGTAGGGACAACATTTATAAGAGCAGTGAAAGTGTCAATCAGAGCATTAAAAGACACCTAGGTCTATTTCTAGATTTTTTGTTTTATGCCACAGTTTATTGGCAAGTATAAATAAACTTTTTTTAAATTATTATTGTATATATGATATAAAGTAGTTTATGTTGTGTTCATGTGTAATACAATAAGAAAATGTAATTCACTGATGTTATTTAATAATGCATGCAATTGATAGGTCCGAACCACAAACTGAACTTGAATTCAGGTTTGCAATTTACAACTTACTAGTGGAAAGTATTCATTTTTAAGTAGCATACCACAAAACTGAAATCGTATCTCACAGTTTCAATCTTGTTAGATATTATCTCTATCTGTAATATTTTATATTTCTAAAAGGCACTAGGTTGGTTCCCTCTAATTCAGTACAGTAAACACAATGTACAAAGAGCACTTAAACTTTAAGAATGCAAAGGAAGGTTGACTTATAGATTTAGAGCAATTTAAGAAAAATAATAGTGTGATGCGAGTCAATTTTATGATATGCAGTACCCCAAAGGAGTGTATCTGAAAAATTTAATTCAGATGGAAGGTGCCTGTGGTGCTTTTGTTTTATTCATCACAATGTCTGCCTAAGGCATTTCAATTTATTTTCTCTTCACTGAATGGAATTTCAATCTTGCATTGGAAGGGCTATCCTAAAGACTGTAAAGCTTAGTGATCAATAAAAGCAAACAATTTTATACCTTTGAGACATTCATTATTTATATTTGAACTCCACGTGGCGGCAGAGTGCTTTGCTACAAGCCAACGCAACTTTGTCAAAATATGGATAAATGTATCCTTAGTGCAAGCTCCAGTTGCTTTAAACTTGCTATATATAGACTACTTCCCAAGCACGCAATGGCTTTCCAAAGTGAGATAAAAACCAGGATACAATTAGAAAGAAACAAAGAAAGAGAAATTAGACAGCAGGGCAGTAAAGTAACAGTGGAAGGAGAGGGGAGAAATGGAGAGGACAAAAGGAAAGAGTGAGAAAGAGAAATTGAGAGAAAGAATGTTACCATTTTAGCTAAAAGTTCAGCAACAGTAAATATTCTGCACTTTACGCCACAGACACACACCACACTCCCAGCTCCCAAGAGACAAGCCCCTATGTTAAAATTCTCTATTTCCCTTTGTGTATACTCTGTATGAATTATCTAATAAGCCTTGTTTTAAAAAAAAAAAAAAAAAAAAAACATGCCTGCTGCAATTTTGCTTTATCTTTAACAACAGACTATTACTTTATTGCTCCCCATACCATTCACAAATGGGAAACATGGTCAATGGCAGTGGTGCCAACCAGGGGCGGACTGACCATTTGGAAACTCGGGCACTGCCCGAGGGCCCGGGGTCAGTAGGGGGCCCCATGAGATGCCCCTGGTACCTTTTTTATAGGCTTTTTTGAGTTTGGGCAAGGACACTGGGGCCACATGATCCCCTATTGCCCGAGGCCCCATGAGTTGTCAGTCCGCCCCTGGTGCCAACATTATAGCCACCTTGCTCCCCCACAATTCTTTAACATTCTTATAAATCTGCAGATCCTATTGGTCATGACCTGGAGCTTCTGCTGGCAATTTAACTGATCTTTCACTGATCAAAAAAAATTTTTTTTAAGAAAATAGGTTGATTTACTAAAGGCAAATAGTCTGTGCACTTTATAAATGCAATTGCACTCTGCAAGTACAGTTACTCCAGAGTTGCATAAATGAGATGAAGTTTCACTTTGAAAAGAATACCCGATCACATGCAAGAAAAAAATATAAACAGAATTATTGCTTGCATATGATGATGGAAGTCAGCACAGAGCTTCCTTTCATTTACTAAGCTCTGGAGCAACTGCACTTGCAGAATCTATTTGCCTTAAATCAACCCAAATATGTCTTCTGAAAAAACTGGGATTCATCAGGTGAAATTCATAATGTGAAATTCTACCCTTGGCAAAACCTGCATCAGCAAAAGCAAAGCATTCAATGAGTACAGAATGCAGTATGGCAGCAACCAGAGAACATTTTTCCCAGTCATACCCATTACATATAATCCTTGAGGTAGGAGTGTTGCGACAACAGTGGTCTTCCATTGAGGATTATTTGTGATAGACGTGAAGATCATTGTAACAAATCATAAAAATCATACGTGTTAAGAAACAGTGGAGGAGTCCTCTGTGTATTAGATACCTGATATACATGGACCACTCTGAATTTAAAACTAGCTAATAAACTCCCTTCTGCATAGAAACCAATCAGCTTCTAACCTCAGCTTGTTCAATGAAGCTTTGGCAATGAAACCTGGAAGCTGATTGGTTTCTATGCAGAAGGGAGTCTGGTTTTGGACTCTCCAGCTTTAGTAAATAAACCCCTAATGGTCTATTGACCTGTGTAGCGGCACCTCTTTGCATTGTGAAATGCAAACAAGATGTGCTAAAGTGATTGTAAACAGCCAGTTTTTTAAAAATAACAAACATTTCATTCTTACCTACTCTGCGCAATGGTTTTGCACAGAGCAGCCCTGATCATGCTCTTCTCGGGTCCCCTGCAGGCACTCCTGGCTCTTAGTACCTCCATAGCAAACCACTTGCTATAGGAACACTCATGCATGTTCACTCCCTAGCCAGACACACAGAGCATGGCTCAGCCTAGCCCCCACTCCCTTCTCACTGGCTTTGATTAACATCATCGGGAGCCAGTGGCTCCTGCTGCTGTGTCTGAGCCAATGAGAAGGGAGAGAGCCAGAGCTGACAGAGCCTCATCTCTTGTGCACATCTCTGGATCGAGAGGTAAGTAAAGGGAGCTGGAGGGTAGCTACATACTGATGGTTTTTTTTACCCTAATGCAAAGAATGCATTAAGTCAGGGGTCTACAAACTTTCTAAGCAATGGGCCAATTTCTGGATTTAGTGGGAATAATAATTCCTCAGGCTTTGTGGTCCGTGGGAGTAAAGAAAAATACATAACACCTTTGGTCAGTGAAAGGAATAGTGCCCCATCAATGATATCATGTTGGAGGAATAGTGTCCCATTGGTGGTGCCAGTGGCAGGAATTATGTTCCATTCTTGATGTCAGTGAGAAGATTAATGTCCCAAGGGGCTAATAAAGGCTAGCAAAGGGCTGCATTTGACCCCTGGGCCACAGTTTGGAGACCACTGCATTAAGGAAAAAAAAAAACCTTCAGCCTTTAGAAACACTTTAACCTAACAGTTAACAGTTAGCCCTAACAAAAACAAAAACTGTATTTGTATTCAACCATCATTAAAAAGTCAGAGGCTCACAGAGTGTGCTGAAGTTTCATTGTTTTTTAAGACTAAAAGTACTCATTATGTCTCATTATCCTTACAGAATTTACTTATTTTGTGAA